AAAAAGATATTTGTTGGGCTTACAAATGACTCTCTCTGCAAATGTATTTCAACTTCGGCAAATCCCAGGATTGGTTCAAGGATCCTCCACCGTAAACTCTCCTGAAGGCTCACACTTGGCTCTCGGTGTTACCATACAAGCACCAGGTGAAGATCACAGGATCTTGAAGAGACACAGCTTCAATTTATTGCTTTTTGTCATTGTCCCCCGGTCTCAAGACAATGGAACAATTGTCACTTCCCAAAACAAACGTGCCCAATGCTACCTGGAGGGCTCCCATGCTTTTGCAAAAGCAATCCAAACACCCACGAAGAATAGCTGCCACTTTTCCCAGAAGAGTCCGAATCAAAACAAAGTGCCCCAAGTCTGGGCATCCTACTCATCTCTTTCCACCCATCTCTCGTCCCCTCTCCCTGGGAACTTTGCGGGGGGAGCGGAAGGACCATCAAGGGGACCCTGACAAGACATTCCTGGGGAGAGGACGAAGCAGCCTCGCTGCCTGAGCCCAGGCGCTGCTAACTTGGAAGGAATGGCTTTTACATTTGCACTCTGTGTCTCCTGAGACGTCTTGTGGAGAGTAGGCAAGCCCCTCATCCTTGGCTATACGGCTTCTTCCCCCACTCTTTCTTCTTTGCTTTAGCCCAGCCTAGCCCTCCATCTCCTTCTGAGGAGGGACGCCAGGTTCAAAGAGGATGAGAGGATCAGGACAAATCAGCAAAAAACAGATCCATCAGTGGTGAAATTCAATTTTTTTTACTACCAGTTGTGTGGGCGTGGCAGGGAAAGGATACTGCAAATATATATATCAGCTTTACTTTAACTATCATCACTTAACTTTAGCAAAAAAAAAAACTTTTACTTCAAAGAAATGGAGTCAAGGGTTTTTCTTTCCTAAATGTCCAAATTGAGACAGACCTGACATTATGTGAGGTACATATATTTGGAAAAGTTCAGGATTGAGTGGATCAGACAAATACTTATAGAGGAAGAAAGCTGGATTCAGAATTTGTTGATCTATTGTCAAACAGTGATTTATGTTGCAATTATGAGAAATTTATGACCAAGCCTAAGATTTCATTTGATGAAGCATTTGTTTTGACTCAATCTCAAAATAAATTCTATAGGAAAAATGTAAATCCTCATCACTTGGTAGGTTATTCCTCCTACTCATTTTAAAGTTACATGAAAATGCAAATCATTTTCAACAGTTTTATCTGCAAAACCAATGTTCTAATCTGGTACAGAAATAATTTAACAGAACTTTTTTTATTTTTCTTTAAAAAAAAACACAAATATGTCATCATTTGTCAATCATTAA